TGGCCCTTTAATCCCTCCGGAGCCACGTGTGGCACTTTAATCCCTTCGGAGCCACGTGTGGCCCTTTAATCCCTCCGGAGCCACGTGTGGCACTTTAATCCCTTCGGAGCCACGTGTGGCCCTTTAATCCCTTCGGAGCCACGTGTGGCACTTTAATCCCTTTGGAGCCACGTGTGGCCCTTTAATCCCTCAGGAGCCACGTGTGGCACTTTAATCCCTCCGGAGCCACGTGTGGCCCTTTAATCCCTCCGGAGCCACGTGTGGCCCTTTAATCCCTCCGGAGCCACGTGTGGCCCTTTAATCCCTCCGGAGCCACGTGTGGCCCTTTAATCCCTCCGGAGCCACGTGTGGCCTGTTAATCCCTCCGGAGCCATGTGTGGCACTTTAATCCCTCCAGAGCCATGTGTGGCACTTTAATCCCTCCAGAGCCACGTGTGGCCCTTTAATCCCTCCAGAGCCACTTGTGGCACTTCAATCCCTCCAGAGCCACGTGTGGCCCTTTAATCCCTCCAGAGCCACGTGTGGCACTTTAATCCCTCCAGAGCCACGTGTGGCCCTTTAATCCCTCCAGAGCCACTTGTGGCACTTTAATCCCTCCGAAGCCACATGTGGCCCTTTAATCCCTCCGGAGCCACGTGTGGCACTTTAATCCCTCCGGAGCCACTTGTGGCCCTTTAATCCCTCCAGAGCCACATGTGGCCCTTTAATCCCTCCAGAGCCACGTGTGGCCCTTTAATCCCTCCGGAGCCACTTGTGGCCCTTTAATCCCTCCAGAGCCACGTGTGGCCCTTTAATCCCTCCAGAGCCACGTGTGGCCCTTTAATCCCTCCAGAGCCACGTGTGGCCCTTTAATCCCTCCGGAGCCACATGTGGCCCTTTAATCCCTCAGTAGCAACGTGTGGCCCTTTAATCCCTCTAGAGCCACGTGTGGCCCTTTAATCCCTCTAGAGCCACGTGTGGCCCTTTAATCCCTCTGAAGTAACTCTGGAGTCAGAATAAAATATTGGAGCTAAAATAGAATAAATCTGAGTTTTTAGGCTCCTGCAGATAAAACTGGACCTGAGCTGGACCCTGATAACGACAGAAACTCAGAACTGAAAGAGGACCCTGCAGGTCGGGTCCTTCAGGTCGGGTCCTGCAGGGGGCGCTGCAGGTCGGGTCCTGCAGGTTGGGTCCTGCAGGTCGGGTCCTGCAGGTCTGGTCCTGCAGGGGGCGCTGCAGGTTGGGTCCTGCAGGTCTGGTCCTGCAGGGGGCGCTGCAGGTTGGGTCCTGCAGGTCGGGTTCTGCAGATCGGGTCCTGCAGGTCTGGTCCTGCAGGTCGGGTCCTGCAGGCCGGGTCCTGCAGGTCGGGTCCTGCAGGTCGGGTCCTGCAGGCCGGGTCCTGCAGGTCGGGTCCTGCAGGGGGCGCTGCAGGTCGGGTCCTGCAGGTCGGGTCCTGCAGGTCTGGTCCTGCAGGTCTGGTCCTGCAGGTGGCGCTGCAGGGCCAGTTTGAGGCTCTAATGAGCTCCAGCTTGTGTTCTTTAGCTGTTTCTCTGAGGTCCGACTATCTGAGGTAGTCGTGACTGAACTGCTTCATCAGCTGCATGAAGTTCTGTGGTTCTGCTTCCTGTCGGGCTCGGTGTCGTGTTTACGGGTCAGAACCATTTTCAACATGTCCTCAAATGAAAAGAGTTTCAATCTGAACGTTTTCTTCTAACGACTGAAACAGTTTTCTGTTTTAACAAAGTCTGTATGAAGAGTACTGGGTTCAGACGGGCCCTGGTTCTGGACTCTGATCCGGTCCGGACCAGGCAGACAGAACTGAAACAAAGATTAAAATAAACTGAACAAAGCGATACTGCACAGCTTTATCAGGTCGATCCTGCTGTTGGAGTGTTGGGGGCCCACGGGGGGTCCKGCGGTGTGCTCGGGGCCTTGTTTKCTCCTGATYCGCCCGTGCAGAACCAGAAYCAGAACCAGAACCATTACACTGCCAGTTGCACAAGAACCTCTCCTAATCGCTGCCGTACGTATCTTACCGTGGTGTTGCTGCTTCATGTGACTTTTTTTCTGCTTCGTGGCGTCTGTCATACCTCTGCTGTGACGACGTCTGGCTCCGCCCCTTCAAGCCTCAGGCTTTGGGGGAGTGGGCGGAGCCTCGTCCTCACGCTGCCACACCCTCAGCACGTTGATGTTTGACGTGTTTCCTGCAGCCGTAGGGTCTGTTCTGCTGTAACCTGTTGGACCGGATAGATCAGGTGTTTATATTCCTGCAGACAGAAGCTGGTTTTAGTTGTAAAGTTTTGTTTTCTGTAAATTGCACTAATTGTTTTACAGAACCTCCTCGATGTGCCGTTAAAGTTCTTATGAATGTTGTCAGAACTGAAGCTAAATATGAAACATGTTAAGACATTAGATGTGTTTAATCATAATAAACTAAATAATATTTAAAAGAAACCTGTTGGTTTGGCTCTGATTTATTCTGGAGTTTCAGAAACAAATGTTGATGGTGGGAAACAGACCTGATCCAGAACCTCAGATCCAGTCCTCATTCTCTGAACGCTGAGTCATCGCTTTTCCACGTCTGTGATTTTTACTTCCTGAATTTTTCTGCAGACTTTGTGCTGTTTTAGCCATTTATTTTATTATTATTCGCTGGCAGTTGAAATAGAATTTTTGAAGCTAAAAGAAGCTAAATTCTAGCTAATAGTAGCAAAAGGCTAGCTGAAAGCTTTAAGTATCAAAACATTAGCTAAAAGTAATAAAGCTAATAATTCTTGTTATTTGGCCTTTTGACCTATACTATATGTGTA